AGAGAGAGAGAGAGAGAGAGAGAGAGAGAGAGAGAGAGAGAGAGAGAAAGGGAGAGAGAGAACACAATAAGAATATATCATATATGTGCAATAAAGTGCTAGTAAGAGGGTGTGATTTTAAATAGAGCAGTAAGGGTGGGCCTCATGGAAAAAATAACATGTAAATAAAGGTTTGAAAAGCATGAGGAATGGATATGTGAAGGGAGAAGGTTCAAAGCAGAGGAATGGATGATGCAAAGTTCCTGAAGAGAAAGCAAACACAGAAAAAGTTACTAAGTATTAGGAGGTTATAGATTTTGCACTACAAAAGCTACCACTAAAATTCATCAGAATGCAAAAAGACTAGATCTGATCTTTTAAGAAAAATTCTCCTCTATAACCACCTTCATTCTTTATCTTAATACTCTGTCTAGTCTATTTTTTTAATCACTGACAGGGCCCCGACATGTTCAGGGACAGAAGCGGAAGCCCAGAACACAGACCCAGGTATGTTCAAATATGTGCAGGCCGGAGTACGAGCCTGGAGCCTACTGCGCAGGTGCATCGGCTTGGGTTACATAAGCCCTTATGTAAGCATGACTTGCACTTGCGGGAGGGAGCATGTGCACTCTCCTGCGCTCTCCTCTCCCAAACCAGTATATAAGGTTGGTATTGCTGATTAAAGACGCTGGTTCCTCCTCATGTCAGCTCCGCGTGCCTTTTTTACGTTGGGCACCTCACCGCCAAAACCTCCCCCACAAATCCCTGGCAACGACACTTGGCGTAGTAGGCAGGATGAGGTGAGTGCCCCCTCTGTCCTGTTGGAGGAACCGCCCCAGGTGGAAGGGATGTGGCCTCCGACACCCCTCTGGTATCCGATCGTGGTGTACTTACTTGCCTGAACCCCGCCGGAGGACTGGGACGGTGTGCGCCCCCTACCGGAAGACGTCCAGAATGCCCTAGAGACGCTGGAACCCATCCACCCATTGATGCATCAGGAGGCGGCCGGCTGAGTGTCCTGGGTGTTTATAGCAGTCTTATGATATGTTAGCTGCGACGTTCAGGAGTACGCGGGCCAGGTGCGGCAGTTACAGCCCCAGGAAGATGACTTGGAGCAACGCCTGGCAGTGGCTGAAGACATGCTCCAAGGGTCCCCCGAGTCAGGGGTGCCCTCCCAAGCTAGCAGCCCACCAGGGTCAGCGTGCACCTGACTGGTGGTGCGACAAAGGGTGGAAGTCGAGGAGCCGCTGGCTCCTGGGAGTGGCGCCACCAGACCACGGCAGTCTGTATGACATAGCTCCTACACTACATACACGGCCATGGAGCTACGGGAGCTCTCCAAGCAGTGCAAGCAGCGTTTAGGTGAGTCGGTACCCGCTTGTGGGATGACGGGGCGGACAATATGGAGTTAAGCTCCACTGAGATGGTGCAGCTGGCCAGCGTCACCACGGTGCCCTCCCTGCGGCAGCGTTTTAAAAACGTGCCTCAGACCAACCCCCAGCCAGTAATCAGACCCTAACTAACTGGCTCATGGCTGCTGCCTGCCCGTATGATCTGGGACAATGCAGGGGACTTGCTGGAACATGTGAGTAAGTGGACCACCTACTTGGACTTGGTGCAAGTCATATGGGAGATGGGCAGGCATGCGGCAGATGATGTTTGCCTTACAGTATAACAGCCCTGATGAGATATTCACAGCCCGCATGAAAGACCTTATCCTTGCTAACGGTCCACCAGGCACCTTTGGGACCATGGCTGCTTTATTGGCCCCTTATACAGACCGGCCTGTCCATGAGGTCACAGGGGCTTTGGCTAGACTGGGAGACATGGAAGTCCTCCAGCAAAGTCGGACTGTGCAGGTGCGGGCTGTAGCTGGAAAGGGCACAAATTGCCCTGTCCCCCAAAATGGGCTACGAAAGCCATGCCCAAGGGCCTGGGCGAGGAGGGGGGGGACCCTGTTAAGGTGAACCGCCAGCAAATGTGATTTGAACTGGTGGCCAATCGGCTGACCGAGGAGAAATTAGACGGGCAGCCCCTCGAGGTCCTCTTGACCCTCTGGCGGAAGCTACAGCCTGAGCAGAAGTGCACCGCAGTACCCCTGAAGGAACAGAAGGGGATGACGGCCCAGGAGTTGGGCCTAACTGACTTCCTCCCAGACTAGGGAATGAGCCGGGGTACCCGGTTAATGGTGAAGCTGGATGACCTGAGGCTGCACGTTGAACTCACCATATATCGGTCCCCCCGGAACGTGCTGCAGGTGCTGGCCCTCGTGGACACTGGGGCAGACAGCACCCTCATCTACGGCAATCCGGACCATTTTCAGGGCCTGAAAGCCACTATTGAGGGGTATGGTAGCTGACACATCATGGTATGTAAAGTCTCCATCACCCTGGGCATCGGACGTCTCCCCACCAGGGTCTATGAGGTCTATGTGTCTCCTATTGTTGAGTACATCCTCGGGGTGGATGTGCTCAGGGGACTGATTGTCATGGCTGAGGGGGAATTCTGCTTGTGGGTGCGCGTGGTGAAAACGGTGGTTAGAAGACATCCCCAAGCACACACCCCTCCACCTGCCACAGGCCACCTGAGTGGTTAATGTCAGACAATATCGCTTGCCCGGGGGGGCATGAGGAGATTGGGCATACTATCTTGAAGTTGGAAGAGGCAGGTGTCATACGGTCCACCCACAGCCCCTTCAACTCCCCAGTCTGGCCAGTATGGAAGCCAGACGGTTCCTAGAGAATGACTGTAGACTACTAGGAGCTGAATAAGGTGACCCTTCTACTGCATGCCGCTGTTCCAAACATCACAGAGTTGATGGACCACCTCTCACAGGAATTGGGACAGTTCCACTATGTGATAGACTTGGCTAATTCCTTTTTCTCCATTGACCTTGACGTTGCCAGCCAAGACCAGTTCACTTTCACCTGAGAGGGTAGACAATGGACCTTCCAGGTGTTGCCACAAGGCTACCTACACAGCCCAACGCTGTGCCATGGGCTGGTAGCACAGGATTTAGCTACATGGACCAAGCCCCTGACCGTGTGCTTGATTCACTATATAGATGACATAATGTTAACTTCTGATTTTCTTGCAGATTTGAAAATTGCCACCTGCAGTCTCTGAGACACTCTAACGGGTTGGGGGTGGGCCATCAACGAGGACAAGGTCCAGGGCCCTGGCTAGTCTGTCAAGTTCTTGGGAGTTATTTGGTCAGGTAAGACAAAAGTAATCCTCAAGGTAGTCATAGATAAGATTCAAGCATACC